CTGGGGGAGAAAACGTAATAATAATAATAATAATAATAATAATAACAATAATAATACTAATAATAATAATAATAATAATAATCATAATAATAAAGAAATAAAAAAAAACGAGTGAGAAACAATATACAGTATATGTATGTTGTGTTGTCAATGGTAAGAGAAACAATTGAGACCCTGCAATTGTGTGTAAATGAGGCACAAAGTCAGATCAGCAACCTGGGACTTGGTCACAATTTTCGTGATGCCATATGGCAGCAGGGTCTACCATAGACAACACATTATGCTTCCAATATCTTCCCAGGCGTTAGTACCTCCCTGTTTGGTAACTGCCTACTACCCACTACCTCTGAACCAACCTGACAGGGTATCCGCGCCCAGTAAGGTCATCCTTATGCGGTCGAAAACACAATTATAATCACAGATCAAAACAAAAGCAAACTATGCGACCTCTTATGGTCGCTGCATGGAATGTCAGGACCTTTCTGGATACTGGCACAAATGAAAGTCCTGAAAGAACCGCCCTTGTGGCAAAAGAGCTGGCTAGGTATAACATCGACACAACAGCCTTTAGTGAGTCCCGGCTCCCAGACGAGGGTCGACTCACAGAACTGGGGTCTGGCTATACATTCTTCTGGAAGCGCAAGCCTGCTGCGGAGAGAAACCGTATTTATGAAGTTGGCTTTGCCATCCGCCAATGCATCCTACTCAGGCTAACTGAAATGCTTCATGACACTCAGATTCCCACTGAATCACAACCCTCATGCCTTTTTCATCAGTGCATACGCCCAAACACTGGATGCAGAGGATGACACCAAGGAGCCCTTTTACGCCGATCTTGACAGAATGCTAACCTTTATCCCCGGAGAAGATAAGGCTATTCTCCTAGGTGACTTCAATGCCAGAGTTGGCAGAGATGCTGACATTTGGCAGGGAACCATAGGGAGAAATGGACTAGGTGAGGCAAGTGTAATCCCAACGGCCTACTCCTCCTCAGCAAGTGTGGAGCACACAACCTCACTATCACCAATACGATGTCTAGGCAGGCCGACAAGTTCAAGGGTTCGTGGCAACACCCACGATCCAAACAGTGGCATCTCATTGACTTCCTCATTGTCAGAGAAAGAGATCGCCCATATGTCCTCATCACCCGAGCCATGAGTGACTCAGACCACTGCGACACTAATCATCTGCTCGTCAGAGCCAAACTCTCACTTCACGTCACCCCAAAACGGAGAAGCAGCAAGCCTCCAGAAGAGTTTTTAACGAAAAGCGTCTGGAGGATCCAGCAGTAATACCTGCTTTCAGAGAGCAGCTCGAACACAGGTTGATAAACAACCCAACAATGAACAACGCAAATCCCAGTGCCGAATGGGGTATTCTCGACACTCTCGTGACAAAAACCTACAGGGAGACCCTCGGCCAGATCGAAAGAACACACCAGGACTGGTTTGATGAAAATGACCCGGAAATCAATGTACTCGTCGATGATAAACGTGCTGCTTTAACTGAATGACCGAAGAACCCTCAGTCTCAGACCAAAGCTGATACCTTTGTCACCTTTATCTGCACGGCTTACTTCACACCACCCAAACCACTAGTTAACCAGCAGTCAACCAGTAAGCACACGAGATATGAGATTGCTCTTGATTTGTGGAAAACCATTGCCGGCTGTTGGGGGCGCCATCTATGACAGGTGATGTCTATTCTAACCCTGGGATTGCAGGTCAGTCCTACACTCACCACTTCTGAGGCTTGTTCTCCCTGCCTACTCTGTCATAAAGTTGAGCGACTGTTAACTACACACAGCGGGATCTGCTGGCCAGCTATTTGTAATGTGTATTAGTACAGCTGAGTACAATATTTTTCACCCTTGTATATGTGTTTTGTGTTAATTTTGTTTTGAGAATATTATATAAAAATCACTTGCATATTTTTCACGTCCTACTATTTATACTGTGTTGGGTGTTGTCATGTCAACCATGAGTGTGGTGTCAAATATTCAATTAAGCAAAGTAATGATATAATAGCTTAACATACTGTACAATGAGAATCAATAACCAGAAAAGTTCACAGTACAGACTGTGTGAGGTATGTGTATGAGTGTGTATAGTGTGAGGTGTGTGTATGAGTGTGTATAGTGTGAGGTGTGTGTATGAGTGTGTATAGTGTGAGGTGTGTGTATGAGTGTGTATAGTGTGAGGTGTGTGTATGAGTGTGCATAGTGTGAGGTGTGTGTATGAGTGTGCATAGTGTGAGGTGTGTGTATGAGTGTGTATAGTGTGAGGTGTGTGTATGAGTGTGCACAGTGTGAGGTGTGTGTATGAGTGTGTATAGTGTGAGGTGTGTGTAGTGTGTATAGTGTGAGGTGTGTGTATGAGTGTGTATGGTGGAGGTGTTTGCATGAGTGTGTGTATAGTGTGAGGTGTGTGTGTAGGTGTTTAGTGTGGGGTGTGTGTGTATGAGTGAGTATAGTGTGGGGTGAGTGTATGAGTGTTTGTAGTGTGAGATGTGTGTATGAGTGTGTATAGTGTGAGGTGTGTGTATGAATGTGTATAATGTGAGGTGTGTGTATGAATGTGTATAGTGTGAGGTGTGTGTATGAATGTGTATAGTGTGAGGTGTGTATGAGTGTGTATAGTGTGAGGTGTGTTTGAGTGTGTATAGTGTGAGGTGTGTGTATGAGTGTGTATAGTGTGAGGTGTGTGTATGAGTGTGTATAGTGTGAGAGGGTGTGTTTGAGTGTGTGTATAGTGTAGGGTGTGTGTATGAGTGTGTATAGTGTGAGGTGTGTGTATGGTATGAGTATAGTGTGAGGTGTGTATAAAGTGAGTATAGTGTGAGGAATTACATGTGAGTGTATGGTATGAGGTGTGTGTATGACTGAGTATAGTGTGGGAGTGTGTGTATGCGTGTGTATGGTGAGGTGTGTGTATGATGTGTATAATGCCAGGTGTGCAGTGTGTATAGTGTGAATTAATAACTTATGATGTTTAGTATGAGGTATGTATAGGTAGGTATGAGTGTGGTGAGTGTAGGTGTTTGTGGTGTGAATGTGTGTGCTGTGTGTATAATTATGAGGTGTGTGTATGAATGTGTATGTGTGAGGTGTGTGTATGAATGTGTATAGTGTGGTGTGTGTGTGTGTGTATAGTGTGGTGTGTGTGTGATGTGTGGTTTGAGGTGTGTTTGAGTGTGTATAGTGTGGTGTGTGATTGTCTTTCATTAGGGGTGTACAGTGTATAGTGTAGAGATGTGTATGAGTGTGTATAGTGTGAGAACAATATGTGAATATTATATATAAACCATGGTGTGTGTGTATGAATGTGTATAGTGTGAGGTGTGTGTATGAATGTATACAGTGTGAGGTGTGTGTATGAGTGTGTGTGTTTGGTGTGTTTGATATGTATAGTGTGAGGTGTGTATGATTGTGTATAGTGTGAGGTGCTGTGTATATGGTGTATAGTGTGAGTGTGTGTATAGATATTGTATTGTACAGGGTGTGTGTGTATGAGTGTGTATAATGTGAGGTGTGTGTGTGAGTGTGTCTATGAGTGTGTATATTAGGGTGTGTGTTTGCATCTGTGTGTGAGTGTGGGGTGTGTGTAGTGTGAGGTGTGTGTATGAGTGTGTGTAGTGTGAGGTGCGTGTATGAGTGTGTATAGTGTGAGGTGTGTGTATGAGTGTGTGTAGTGTGAGGCGTGTGTATGAGTGTGTATAGTGTGAGGTGTGTGTATTAGTGTGAGGTGTGTGTATGGGTGTGTGTAGTGTGAGGTGTGTGTTTGAGTGTGTGTATAGTGTGTTTGTCAACTGTGACCTGTGGTGTAATGGTCAGCATGCTCGCCCTACAAACGAGCGGACCCGGGTTCGATCCCCGGGCAGGGTGAAACTAAGGGCAAGCTTCTTGACGCCATTTGCCTCTGTCTACCCAGCAGTAATTGGGAACGTGGATGTTAATCGATTTGCGGATTGTGTCCCGGGTAATGGTTAGTCAGTGCAGTTGTCCGGTCTTTTTGTACTATTCCTTGACACTGGGTCATACAGCTCGTTAACTTACGGTGTGGTTGTTATGTTGGCGACAGCTTCTACACCCTAAGTAAATTCACGCCTAGGTGGCCCTTGGGCCGGCCATCTTCATTACACGAGGGGCAACCATTATATTATTAGTAGAATAGTGTGAGGTGTGTGTATGAGTGTGAATAGGAGAGAGATGCAGCAGTGGAAGGAAGGATAAGGAGGGATGCAGCAGGGGGAGGAAGGATAAGGAGGGATGCAGCAGGGGGAGGAAGGATAAGGAGGGATGCAGCAGGGGGAGGAAGGATAAGGAGGGATATGGCAGGGGAGTTGGGATGCCAGAGGATGCAGCAGGGGGGGTATAGGAGAGGGATGGAGCAGGGGGAGGAAGGATGAGTAGGGATATTACAGGGTTAGGATAAGGAGGGACGCAGCAGGTTAGGAAGAGTAAGGAGGGATACAGCAAGGGGAGTAAAGATAAGGAGGGATGTAGCAAGAGGAAGAGGAAGGCTAGGAGGGATATTGCAGGGGGTAGGAGAAGGAGAAAGACGTGTTGCTGGAGAGCTGAGGGGAGGGGTAAGGAGGGGGTTGGAGGGTCTGAGGGAAGGGGTGAAGCATAAAGGGAATGGAAGGGTAAGATGGGGAGGGGGTGAAGGTAGGGGTGAAGCAAGAGGGGGAGGGGATATGCGGGGTTACAGCAGGGGGAGGGGGTACAGGGAGACTGCCGACAGATCATTAAGGTCACGAGGTCAAGGCTGTTTAACGAGTCATTAATCACCTGGTGGGGAGGTTAGCGAGGCATCAGTAATTAGTAATGTCGACGGTGAGTAAGAAGTTATACAGAAACTGCGTCACAAAAATAAGGGACTAAATATCAAATTTGCATGATATTCTGCGCCATTTGATGAAATTTCCGGTTGTTTAATCAGTGAAAATACAAGGTTTTACAGTATTGTACTGTACTGTATGAATATGTGACTGTGACCCCA